CTTCCTTGTTGCTTCAACGCGTTGTCGAAGTGGGGCTCGAAGTTGTGGTGTCACTAATAGTTTATGTTGTCAGAATTCGTGAAGACCAACTACAAGCTACCTAGCGTGAGATCCAGCATCGCGCACTAGTGAGGTTCGTGGCAAATATTCACAGGGGGTAACGGGGTCAGTGCGGCATCCGCCTCTAGAGCTGCGGCGCTGGCAATTGACATGCCACACTATATTGAAGAGTAGGAGGGGGTTAGGTGATATTAACTTAGGACTGGGGACAGACTGACTTTACGCTCTCTCAATGACCTGTTCAGGGTAACACCACACACACAAAAAAATATCAAATTAGAAAAACAACAACAAACACAATTAAAAATACATTGGTGTAGCTTTATATACTTGTATATATACATATGTGTAAATAAAAAGGAAGTAGAGAAAATAAATACTTTTTATTCTAAATTGAACAAAACCCCGCATTCTTTGAACAATTTACATTTTTATTAGATTGTACTTTATTTTATGATATCTATGTTTATATGTATGTACATTACATGTGTATTATTTTGACTTCATATTTACATTGTTTTTATATATAATTGCTGATTTATCATTTTTTTTCAACGGTTTTTGGGATTTTATCCGAACGTTTTAAACTTTGAATTTGGATTTAGATTTTTTTTTATATTCTTTATTTTTTTTTGTTTTTTTTTTGAATCTTGAGTTTAATTTTTGGTAGTCTTAAATTCTGAGATTTCTGTCTCTACCTTATATTTCGATTTTCCCATAGATTTTTCTTTACACAATTTTTTTTTCCATTCTTTTAATAGTTCCGTTGAGTTCGTGACGCTTGAAATTTTTTTTATTTTGGATTCTATTTTTGGGTTTTTAAGTTTTAATTTTAAAGCATTCAATTCTTGCTTTTTTTTTGTGTTGTTGAATTTTTATTTCTGCTTCGAGTCTGCCTGCTTTAAATATAATTTTTGGAATTTTTTTCAACTTACCATTGAATTTCTATGTTTAAATTAATAGTAATTCTTTCTTTATTTCACATTTTTGAGTTAATCCTATTTCAGAATTACAGCGTCCGTGATGCGGTTAAATTTGTATTTTTTTATTTATCTTTTCTTTAAATCGTTACTTTGATTTTGAAGTTCTATCTTGATCTCTTGGTTTTACAGTCAGATTGAATATAGTTTTTGTTTACGGTTTGCGATTTAAATTAATTATAGATGCAGTTTTTTTATATTCATTTGGATTTCTGGATTCTGAGTGATTTGAATTTTGTGGCGTTTGGTGTTTTGGTTCAGCGTTATTAATCAGATTTGTGAGTAAGTGTTGAGTGAATGGAAGATTGTGAGGTTGACGAGCGAGAGACTGAGGACAGAGTGTAGGTAGGTGGCCTTGGTCTGCTTGACTCTAATCCCAGGATCACCTGATGTTGTTTTGCAAGGGCGCTGGAAAACCAAATTGTTGGGTCGATATTCACGCAAATTGACACCGGCATTCTACATCCGGTGGATTTCTTCCCCACGGACTACCTAAATAGGTGTACTGAGAGAATAGTTGGAATCGCCAGCCGGGAGTCACGCCAACCAGCTATTAGGGTAACCGACCAATTATCTCTTAGCGTAACAGTTAATAGTCTCACCTTCTCACGAAAAATAGAAGAACTCGGTGAAATGTCTGAGCCAGAAAATTCCGGCGTTAACATGCCACAAAACGAACAGCAACCAGGGGGCTCAAAGTCTCAAGGTGGCGGGCTGAGTTCTGCAGCCATAAGCATAGAACAGCTAAGCCGATTAGTGGCATGTTAAATTTGATGGTACCTCTAACAGCATGACGGTACAGAGTTTTACCTTCCGGGTTGAGAAGATGAGGGAGCAATACGGGATCTCCTACTACCGGCTGATTACTGATTTTCATTGCCTGGTCACCGGCAGTGCCTTAAAGTGGTACTGGAAAGTGCTCGAGGATCATGCAGATGATCCCAATTTTGGATATTTTGAGCTCAAAGCCGAGTTGCTAAACCACTTCAAAACTGCCGAATCGGATTATGAGGTAATCCGAGAAATAATGGAGAGGAAGCAGACTCCTCAAGAAACCTTCGAGGAGTTCTACAGCGATGTCCACAACCTCACTTTCCGCCTTAAGGAAAAGATTCCGGAACACGAATTAGTAGGCATAATAAGAGGGAATCTCAAGCCGTACCTTGCAAATCTGATCTTTGCATCCCAGATGACGACTCTCGCAGAGTTGAAGTCAGAGTGCAAACGTGCGGAAAGGGTCATTAAAGAGAACAGGAACAGACCGAAACCAATTAATGAATTAGAGTTTATAAGTGAAGAAAAGGCAGAGGAGAAGGTAGAACAAAGAAGTGTAGAGGCGATTAAGTGCAATAAACCTCAACAAGTAGTGTCAGTCCCTAATAGAGTGCTCCCGTCCAGTAATCCCAATGTGCAAAAACCCACTCTCCATTCGTTATGTCCGTCTCCTTTCCACCTGATGTTGTGTCTCAATGTGGTCTACCCGTCGACTACTATGTTAAAAACCCACCTGACGCCCGGAAGGAAGATAAGTGTATGTCCAGGTTTCATGATATGGTCTGTTCTACGTGTGGTAGTAATGCGTCCGAAGCTGGCAGAAGGATCTCCCGGAGGAATTCCAGTGAATGAATCCGTGTTGAGTCCTGTGAGTATTTTAAGGAGAGAAGGGGGTAGTAAGTTAGATAAGGATAGTTTAGGAAAACTAAGGGGCAGAGAAATCAAGAGTTTACACGAAAGGAAAATAGCATATGAAGAAGCCCGAAGGCGCTTTATTTGCGAGGAGATAGTTAGGAAGAAAAAGAATAGAAACTATGAAAATATTAGGAAAATGAGGGAAAAAAGGAAGAACCTAAGATAAGAAGAATAAGCCAAAATATCATATCCACTATAGCAACGCTTTAAGGAGATAAAAGGTTTTTTGCAAAAACTAAGATCGGAGATTATGAAGTGTTCGCGCTCCTCGACTCAGGTGCAGGGGCCAGTTGCCTCGGGAAAAACGCTGAAAAATTCCTCGACGGCAAGGAAAGCCTCATAATGCCGATTAAAGGTCAGAACATCAGAACGGCCAGTGGGAGGGAAGTGTCGGTAGTCACTCTACCCGTCCTTTGGGCCTACGCCACTAGGGAGCTCGAATTTCTAATTGTTCCGGGACTTCAAGAGGAAGTATACCTTGGCGTTGACTTATGGCAGGCGTTTGGCATGAGTGTTGTGAGTAGGGGTGTGACTGCGAGTGTGAATGGTTCTGTTGTTGCGGAGCTGGTACCCGCCGATGGTGACTTAACCTTTGATGCGGTGCAACATGACTTGACACATGATGAGAGTGTAGCCTTAGAACGGATTAAGGCTCAGTTTCCTTCCTTTGCTGTGCTAGAGTTAGGCAAAACTGATAAAGAGGAACATGTTATTGAAGTTACGAATGAAAATCTCCCAGTGAAACAAAGGCACTACCCTATCTCGCCAGCAGTCCAAAAACTTGTTTACGCAGAATTAATTAGAATGCTAGACATGGGCGTGATAGAAGAGAGCAATAGCAGCTGGAATTCTCCAGTCTCGCTGTTAGTAAAGGGTACGAGAAATAGGCTTTGCCTCGACGCCAGAAAGATCAATGAGAGAAAAATAAAAGATGCATATCCACTTCCCCACATTGACGGCATTTTAAGTCGATTGCAAAACACGCGTTTTATTTCTGCTATTGATTTAAAAGATGCATTCTGGCAAATACCCGAGAAGAAGTCAAGAGAGACAACCGCCTTCACAGTGCCTGCGAGACCTCTTTATCACTTCAAAGTCATACCTTTCGGGTTGTGCAATGCTGCACAATGTCTGTGTGGGCTTATGGACAAAGTTATACCCGCTTATTTACGTGAGTCTGTGTTCGTGTATTTAGATGATTTGCTTGTTTTTTGTGAAGATTTTTTGTCCCATTTGTCTTTGTTAGAGAAAGTAGCTAGGTGTCTTCGTGAAGCTAAACTGACTATAAACGTTGAAAAGAGTAAGTTTTGTTTTAAAGAAGTGAGATATCTCGGGTATGTTGTTGGAAATAGATGTATTCGCACAGATGTAAACAAAATAGCGGCAGTTAGAGACTTCCCGGAACTACGGACCCCGAAGCAGGCGGTTCTTGGGGATGTCAGGGTGGTACCGTAGATTCATACAGGACTACGCGATCATTGCAGCACTACTGCACGACTGCCTCACGAAAGATAAAATAAAGAAATTTATGATGATTGACGAAGCCAGAAAGGCCTTTGAACGATTAAAACAGAGTATAATTTCTGCACCTGTTCTGATACACCCAGACTTCAATCGACATTTTTATATTCAATGTGACGCATCAACTGACGGTGTGGTTGGGGTACTTTTCCAGTTGGATGACGAAGGCAATGAGCGCCCGATAGCATATGTCTCGGCAAAATTAAATAAGGCGCAACGAAACAACCGCATCACCGAATTGGAATGCTACGCGGCGGTGCTTATTGTAAAAAATTTAGGCTTTATGTTGAGGGACTACCCTTCACGGTAATCACGGACCACGCGAGTCTGAAATGGTTGATGAACAAGAAGGATCTATCTGGCAGACTCGCGAGGTGGAGCTTGAAGCTCCAAAGTTTTCATTTTGATATACAACACCGGAAGGGGTCCCAAAACATCGTGCCAGATACATTATCACGCACCGACATGGAAGAAATAATCAAGAATAGCCGGATAATAGATGTGTGTCTCGATTCGCCATTCTTCAAAACAGAAGAGTACGAAGAACTGAAGAAGGCCGTGACAGAAAACCGATACCAGTTACAGGAGTTTACCATATCGGACGGCTACGTATATAAATGGACGAAGTTTAACACGGGGGATAATTTTCAGCAGGACCACGCCTGGAAACTCTGGGTTCCGTCGGAGCTGCGTCGTGGGTAACTAGAATCATCGCATGACTCACCGTGCGCTGGTCATAGTGGAATACAGTGAAATTCCTCATAACCGGACACTCACGGTCGCAGTGTTTTTGTCCGGTTATGGGAGCTGTCCGCTTATAGGGGATGAGGTCAAAAAATATATACATACTACACATATAAAATTCATTGTAGTTTATTTAAGAAATTTTTCGAAGCAAAGAATATTTAAATACATACTTTAGTATTACATATACATACATAAATATATCAATTAAATACATTGTACAAGTCCTTACATTTCAATATCGACTAGTTTGTTTGAAAAAATTGTGTGATGCTTGTTTGTTTTAACATTGATTCCTTTAATTTAAAATTTTCATTTTCAAAGTGACTCTCGATATTTTTAACCTGCTGAAAAGCTACATAGTCATTTTTTGCAAATTGTTTCAAGCGCTCAACAAGTTTTAAAGCCTCATCATATGATGTTATGGGGTCACTTATTTCTTCTGAAGGTTCATCTTCTGAATCACTTAAGTCCATAGTATCATCTGGTTCGTCAAATTGAATTTCTATATTGTTGTCCTCAGTGAAAACATTTTGATCTATTTGGAGAAAACCTTCGAAATCATTTGCCAAATCTAGTCCTTCCTGAAGCCTAGCATAGACTGCCAGTGGAATGTCATCTTCGGGATCAAAATCTGAAGGATCCTCTAAAGTTTCCAAAAATCCTGCTTTACGGAAGCAGTTTCGGATTGTTGTGGCTTCCACTTTATGCCAAGATGCTTTGATGAAATACACAGCTTCCAGTACATTAATCGATTTTGAGAGCTCTGAGGCTGAACTTGTATCGCCAATTTTAGTTATCAAGTGTTTTAAAACTAAGCTTCTATACAAAGTTTTAAAATTTTGGATTATACCCTGATCAAGGGGTTGGCTAACTGCCGTTGTATTTGGTGGCAAGAAACAAATTTTTATGTTGGTCAAGTCTAATTCCTTTGGATGAGAAGCCGCGTTATCTAGAAACAAGATAATTTTTCGATTCTGGGCTTTCATTCTTCGATTGAACTGCTGCAGCCATTCGCTCATCACTTCTCGAGTCATCCATGCTTTTTTATTAGACTTCCAATCCACTGGAAGTTTTGCAATTGGAACATGTTTAAAGGCTCGAGGACGGGCTGCTTTCCCTATAACCAAAAGCGGCTCCTTATCTCCAGCCATATTAGCACAGAACAAAATTGTGAGTCTTTCCTTTGATAGCTTACCTCCCACACATTTTTCGGATTTAAGAGCGAGGGTTTTGTCCGGTAAGGCACGAAAGAAAAGCCCACTCTCATCGGCGTTGTAAATGTCTTCAGGCTTGTACCCATTCAACAGAGTTGGCAGCTTTGTCCGAAACTGTTCGACATCATCCTGATTCACATCTGCAGCTTCACCAGATATGCATTTGAAGGAAACATTATTCCTTAATCGCCATTTATTTAGCCATCCATCCGAAGCATTAAAATTAGGTACCCCCAGTTTTCCTGCAATTTCCATTGCCTTTGCTTTCAAAATGGGACCAGAAATCGGAATTTTTTGACTCCTAGCCTTAGCGAACCAATCAAAACACATCCTGTCTATATCCGAGCCGCCTTCTTTAAGGAAACTTCGCTTTTGGTGAACATTAGATCCAGACTCCCATTTAGAACGAATTTTTTCTTTATTTTTATTAATTTCAGCAGCTTGCGTTTTGCCAATATTGAACCTTTTAAAGCAAAGGAAACGTGTACCTACAAGTTAAATTATGGACTCACTATACTTTACCTTTTTGCAATTCCACGTACTGATAACTTTTCTTTTTCGAAAACATTAATAATTTCCATTTTCTCTTTAATAGAAAGTAGCTTCTTTTTCGGTGCCATATTATTACGAACTTTGAACGCAACCACTCGCATGCAACTTACTTGACAAACTGAATAGAAAACCACCTTTTAATTGACACGCACGGCTTGAGTGTGTGCATACATGTTAAAAGGGGAATCCCCTATTTCATTTTTATAATGAACAACAAAGCTTGCTTGCGATGTTTTTGAATTTTGTCCGTTTATGAGAAATCTTTTCATGGAAATGGCTTGAAATACAGTGTCCGCGTCCGGTTATTAGAGCGTCCGTTTATTAGAATGATATTTGTATGAAAACAGGATTGAAAAACCTGTGTACACAAAATTTGTCCGGTTATTGGAGCTGTCCGGTTATAATGACTGTCCGTCTTGGGGAATTTCACTGTATACAAAACTTTAGCCAGAATAAGGGAGAGGTATTATTGGCCGGGAGTGGTGATAAACGTTCAAAATTATGTTAAAAGTTGCGAAATTTGTAAAGGCAATAAAACCCAGAATGCTTTTCATAAGCCTTTAATGGGGAGACAACACATAACGTAGAGACCTTTTCAACGTTTATTTATTGATTTTATGAGTCCATATCCGCGTATGTGTAGTGGTAATATCTTTGTGTTTGTTTTTTTAGACCATTTCACCAAATTTGTGTTCTTGAAACCCACGAGAAGTGCCACTTCAGCCAATGTCATCAAATTTTTGGAAGAGGAAGTAGTTCATATTTTCGGCGTCCCGGAGTACATTCACTCGGATAATGGGAAGCAATTTGTTTCAGAAATATTTCATTCATTCTTAGGAAAGTACGGGACGATCCACATCAAGACAGCTTTTTACTCGCCCCAGGCTAACGTGGCCGAAAGAGTAAATCGCTCTGTCTTGCAGATTGTGAGGTCGTATATACGTGAGAATCAGAAGGACTGGGACAGGCACATTAGTGATGCCGCTTTCGCCCTACGCAGCGTAATACAGACGGCAGTTAATTGCTCCCCGTACGGTGCCCTCTTCGGTATGCCTATGATACAGCATCATACGAGCTATGCCGAAGATTGGGTATGGTCGGGGAGGCAGACTGTGAGATTGAGACTGTACAAGACAGGGCCCAGTTAAGAAGAGAAAAAATAATGAAATAGCTGAAGTTGGCGTATTAGCGAAGCAAAAAAATATATAACACGAGAAGTAGGGAAGTTATGTTTCAGGTTGGACAAGTGGTGTACCGCCGAAACTTCAAGCAAAGTTCTAAGATCGAGAACTATAACCCAAAACTAGCTCCGAAGCAGATTAAATACGTCATCTTAAAGGTGATAGGCAATTCGATGTATGAACTTGGTGACACGAGTGGCAAGAAGCTCGGGGTATACCATGCTAAAGATATATTTGTAGCTTAGTGTACTTAATTGTGTTTTATGTTGAATGATCAGTGTTACGCGCCACATCGTCTTGTGTTAGTTGTAATCACTTGACATATAAACATCCGTTTATTACCCATTGCCCTTTACGATTTGACAACTATCTAATTGTATTTTATTTTACCACTTGACGTCTTTATTTCTATATTTTATGGTTTTATTCTTTAATTATTTATAAATCTTCATCTGTGATATTTATCTACTTATTGGACTACTAATTTCATTGGTTTTGATTATTTAGTCTTCTGTTTCTTTATTCATTTATGTATTTATTTTTTTTTTTTTATTTAGCTAATGTATTACTTGACCATGTGTCTATAAATTCTGTTATTTTATTTATTTTATTTTATTTTATTTTATTTTATTTTATTTTATTTTATTTTATTTTATTTTATTTTATTTTATTTTATTTTATTTTATTTTATTTTATT